TGAATAAACAAACATGAAAGGATGGCAGGTATTTAGCTGCAGTTAATATTATTACAGTAAGAAAGTGCAACTTTCTTTTTTAAATGGAAACAATTGCTAACCATAGGGAATTGGTTGAATAAAATATGATAATAGCCTTAAGATACCATTCTATGAAGCCATTAATAATAATTTTGTAGATTACATGATGACATTTTTTTTCTTTGTTTACAAAGTGAAGCAAAATTAAAAGCAAAAGGCATTGGTATGTATGCACATATGAGGGCACACACAAAATCTAGAAAGACACAAAGAGAATATTTGTTAAAATATCCATCATGGGAATATGGATAATGAGGGAGAAGGGAGAGGATATGCAATTTTTCTAAAACAAAGGAGAATAAAGTTAAAAGCCTTCAGTATCTTTCAATTTCCGAAAAAATGAGTCTTTTACATTTTGGACAAAAACCAATCTACCTCATTCAAGCCCCATGCATCCCAGCCAAACCCTTCTGCCAAACTCTGCTTCTCTAACTAATCATACTATACTCTTAACCCAATAGGGAGATGGCCTCATCTTGGACTGCCAAAAATCCTATATATCCTTCAAGGACCACTTCAAATACTACTTCTTTCTTCCATAAAGACTTGTATAGTTTCTGCAGTCAGAAATAACATCTTTCCTCTCTTGCTCCTCAGCCCCCCAACCCTCAATTGCTTTGATTTTCTTTGATAATGCAATTAATTACATCTGCATCTTATCTTCTCAAATTAATCATAAGCTTCTTTAAAGGCATCGAACATGTCTCACTCACCACTATATTCCCTTCAGATTTCAGCATCATAAATTGGCATTAAAAAGGAACAAACACTTCCCTAAAAAGCAATACTGAAAAATATCTACAAGCTATAGCACAAAATACAATCTTCTAGAGACATTTCTACAACATCTCCTCTGTACTCTTAATTGTGTATGTATTCTAAAGGCTAAATTAGTATACCTTTGTTTCTGTTTTATCATGTCCACTCAAAGCAAGACAGTTACCATCTTCACTTGTTTCATCCTGTTTTTAAAAAAAAAAGCTTTATTCTCTAAAATGAAAAATTTAGATTATTTGCCAATCAATGCTTTAATTTATATATTTTTAACTATAAAATGATTAAACCTATAAGATCAAGTACAGTCTTAAAATTACTGGTTCCTTTTCAAAAATGTTTTTTCAGATTTATAAATTTAATATGCCTTCACAGTAGCTACTAAAATTAAAAAGAACATTAGGAAAATTGTTCCTATAGATCATCACCATTCCCCAAACCACTAAGTTTATAAAATATTTTTTGTAAGGGGGAAAAAAAAAAAAGAATTCCCTTATCAAGCATGTATAGGAACTTGGCATACTATCACCCTCCTGTTCCGGGAGACTCCATACACATATCAGCACATAAAAAGTTCTGAGAAATTCTATAAAGAATACCACTTGAACTTTCCCGAATGTAATTAACCACAGAATCTCCCTTCTTGGTAAGACCTATTGCCACCCTGAAGAATACAAGATTTGAGAAATGCCTGCCTTGGGTCTCAAAAATCATTTTGACACTATTTTTTCAGCAGAACTAAAATTTAATTTTGAATGTGGTTTTCAAAAAAAAAAAAAAAAAATAGAAACTGCAGACTAACTTATAGATTAGAGAGAGTTAATACAATACCATCCAATTACAATAAGAAATTTATGTCCTGCAAACAAACTTAAAATAACAGTAATATAAGTCACAACTGGGCAAATCTGAATACTGACTAGATATGTAACACTATGGAATTATTGCTAATGTTTGTGTGATAAATACACTGTGGTTATGTTTTTAGAAGTCCTTATTTTTAGATACACAGTGAAATATTTATAGTTGAAATGATATGCCTGGGATGTGCTTCAAAACAATGGGGGAGCCAGGGGGCAGGCAGATAAAACAAGGCTGGTCATCAGCTGTTAAACGTTGAAGCTCGGAGATGCGAACATGACAGTTGATTGTACTTTTGTACATGTTTGAAATTTTCCATACAAAAATTTTTAAAATGTATACAGCTTACTTTAGCTATATAATCTAGGAAATAAAGCAAGCTTTTTTTCTATTTCTCTTTTACATTACCATTATATTTGAAAAGCTTTAGGATATGATGATCATTAAGCAGAATTAAACTACTTCACATTATCTAAAACTCTTCTATCTATATACATGTTAGTGGATTACTGAGTGGGACAAGTACTTCTTTCTAGTTTGCTAAAATTTCTAATATCAAGTATTTGTTAGCGGAGAATAAAAGACCCAGTTTAGAAGGGCTTCAAAATCAGCAT